TTTTTTGCTATAGTTTACCAACTCGTGGTATACTTACTCCAATTGCGCTCTGGATTCCAATAGTAACCCCCGAAAGGATGAAAGCATGAAACAAACGAAATCAAAACAGGAATCGGTGAGTCTTGGAATCACGAATTCGAAGAAACAACGACGTAACAAACGATCGCAGGGAATTCGTTTTGGTTCGATGGACTCTTGAAACTTTTCCGCCGCAACGCTTTTTCCCCTCGGCATTGCAATTTCAAATGCGACTCGTGTCACACGCAATAGTAATAAATTCGGAGAAGAAGAAATTCCAGAAGAGAGGCTAGTCAATCGAAGAAAATAAGATAAGAGTTAGTGAGTTACAGAGAGAGAGTGAGAGAGAGAGAGAGAAAGAGAGAAAAAGAGAGAAAGAAAGAGAGAATGTTCCCACATCGTGAGTCATCGTTCATATTTAAAGTTTTAACTCGGTAACGCTTTATGTTCGCAAGTCGTTTTCGGGGGGACACGCTATCACGTGAAGTTTTATTCCTAATTTACACGTTTTACTCACGGTTTAACACACATTTCTTACCTGGTGGTGTAATATTCGAAGAAGGCAACCAGTATTTCCAAAGACCTCGTGACTGCAGCCCACATGATTTTTATCGTTCCGAGAGAGAGTCTTTAACCACGATTAAGCGCGAGAACGCTAGTTCACATTCCCGGTTTATCGAGTTTATTATCTATTTCCAACGAAAGGAAACGAAAGAAACGAACCTCGTATCCTTCCTATTTACACGTGTGTGTGTGTGTGTGTGTGTGTGTGTGTGCAATCTCTACCTGCCTCTGTGATTTGCAATCTCTTTCTTCTTTCTTTTTGCTTCTCCAAGCGAATTCTTTCTCCTCTCGAACCACAAAATCCGACTCGATTCGATCCGATCCGATCCCCGATATCTCGTGTATAAATTTCGTCTACGCACAAACGCATGTACGATAATACTTAATTAAAGTGGTTTCAATGATATCGATATGCACGTTTATAAAATATCACATTCGACAAGCGGGTAAGAACACTTGCGGCTCAAAGTCGTGAATATTTTCGTCGTACGAAACAACTCGTATCGTTACGCGACGCCATTTCAGGACACGTTTCACGCTCGTGCGTGAACGTGCTCTCTCGTGCGACAACGTTTCAGAGGGAATGGCTGCTGCTATGTAAAGTATGTGTACCTACGCCGCGGGAATTGTACTGTTTGTTGTAAGAAGGACCTCGGAATATGCTTAGCATTCGTAAAAAACAAAGTGTTTGATTAGATTCTGTACTCCTTTTCGTGCATGCTTTCTAAATTTCATCTCGAAAGTTTACAGAGCTGCAGCAAACTCGATAAGCCAATGTTGACCAAACTAATTCTTGCTCTTCTAAAGTAAATAAAGACGAGCCAAACGCTAATCGTCCTGAATGTATTTAAGACTTATTCAATTGTGTTTTGGTTAACCTGCAGTCATGAAGTCGTTTCTTTAGCTCTACGATTATAAATAAATTTTATGCAGAAGAACGGAATTTTCGAATGTACGACAGACAATGCTCGAAAGAGGGAGGCTATAATATTCCCATCCTACCTACTATACGTTCCTTTACTCGATAAATAATATATCCGAGGGCTAAAATGAGGGTTCATTTTGTTCATTAATATTTTCCACAAAACTACAAGGGAGGCTCTAATTTTTTAATATCGCAGACAGAGTCTTGCAACAACTTCACTGCATACGAGAGATATTCGTTTCACTCTTGGGGCATCTTCCCTGCCGAAACAGATTTTTTTCACTTCAGGTCTTTTTTTCCTTTTTTTCCTTCACGGGCATCCAAGAGGATACGATTCAACCAAAGAATACGCGAGCCAATTGCATTACAGGGTAAAAACAACGGTGGTCGAACCTCGCGAATATATATACGCTGGAAAAAAAAATCTGGGGAATACGTTCGATTATCCTCGTCGGTTGGTCAGTCCGTTGGTCGGTAGAACGGACGGTCGAAAGAAGGGGGTACGATCGATCTTAGCTACATTCGCCGGTACCGTTGCCACTGTTCACGCCATCGCCGACGTCACTGCCGCCACCACAGCCACAGCCACAACCGCCGCCGCCGCCGCCGCCGCCACCACCACCACCACCACCATCGTCGTCTCCATCGCGTTACTCTTATTACGTATCGTGTCTACTAGCAATCAACGCTATCGCCCCCCATAATCGTGATTGCCTGCCACGACGTTGCCATTACGCGACGCGTCCGCGAAATTAGTCACGTGTTATCGATTCGTTATTCGCTATTCCAGGGACATTCGAGCGAGTCCTCCGGGCGTTATCGATATTCGAGAAACGAACGACAAATACCGAACCCAATCAGAGATATATTAGGTCGCGCACGTGGCAACGACGTCCGCGAAGGTCGATAGATACGGCGCGCGCATCTCGCTGGGCATGGAATACCCTTCTATCCAGACGCGGTTAAACCATACTTATATCTCGTACCATGAAATCGTATTGGAAATGTGTCTTTCTCACTCGAGTATATAATTTCAATCTTGTACGGTCCCCTTCGTCCTACGCGTCCTTATTCCGTGCCGTGTATTTTTCTCTTCTTTCTTTTCGTCATTTTGCTCTGGCCCTGTGTGCAAGCTCTGTACGATATTGCAAGCGACAATAGCGAGCGACGCTTAATCCATTCTTGTTCCAACGCACGAGAGACGGTAATCATGGTAATAACGACGATCTCGTTTCCGGTAAAACGAACGAAACCGCTCGTATCGCGGATTATCGCTTTTCTTCTACCTCTCTAAATGATCTGCTTTCGTCGTGAATAATTGCAGGAGAAACGCTTCCGTCCTTCCGGCACGGAAGGAAATTACGAGCGAGAGGCGATCGATCGAAACGCACGCGCACGACAAAGGTAAGTAAGAGTTGCTGGCCGTGATGTGGCTCGGTCAATGCCGAAGAATATCCAAGCAACAGGTTCCTAGTCGTTGTACTACACGCGGACTATAAATTTTACGAGAATATGCAAAAACACCGTCATTCGCCGCTGTCGGGCAATTAAAAGCTCGAAATTTCGTTCGTTAATATGGACGAGCTACGTTCTTTGCTCCGTTCAAATACGTAGTAGCACCGCTTCCTCGGCTACGTAGCACTTCGCGTCGCTTGCACGAACAACGTAAAGAATTACAATATCGACCGTGCGGCATTACTTAAACGTCAACCTTTTATTCGAGGATTTGTCAAACATTTCGTGGACGCGCGTGGTTTGCAACTTTTAAAAATGTTTTCCTTACCAACCTCAAATCTCTCGATTTCCATACGAATTTAACGAGAATTTAATTTCAAAGCAAATAGAAAATTGAAGAAAGAAAACAAGAAGGATAACGCCACCGAAAGAAGAGGGTGAATTAGAATAAAAGGCGCTTTAAAACAGTAAATGTAACAGGTTGAAGTAAAAATGGTTAAAAGCAAGATTAAGTTATCAACGATTTATCTCGATGATCCCTATTAGGCTTTCGTTTCCGTGACGATTATCTTGCTTGGCCGAGAATAAAAAGTTCCAGCCAATGTGCAATCGTGTAACTCGCGACTTAGCCACCTGTTACGCGATTTACGTATTTGAAGAGTACAGATCGAAAGATAGAACATTAACGATCGCCACGCGACACGTCGTACACGTTTATCGCTTTTCCGAATTATCTGCCGCGAGTTGTTTCGCACTCACATTACCCGCTGTTGATCGCCGTACTCGAGGAAAAATCGCAAACCTTCTAACGCAGACTTTCTTCCCTGTTCTTTCCCGTCCTTCGAACGTTGGCTAGTTCTTTCACATTCCCAGCTATGATCGGACGAACGGTCATTAAAAAGAAAAAAAAAAGAAGAAAGAAAAGAAACGCGCGAGACGATACAATATAAGAATATTGGAAAAACGAAACGAATCGAATCGAATCGAGTTCCTCCGCGGTCGAGACGAATAAAGGAAAGCTGGATCAATTCGTAAAGCCGTAAGTCGTAAGCTGGAAGCCGTAAGCCATAAGCCGTAAGCCGTGAGCCGTGAGCCGTGAGCCGTGAGCCGTAAAACCTAAACCGTAAGTCATAAACCGTAAATCGCCGGTAGACTACGAACGTGGACACCACGCGACGAATACCAACGCACCGATCGAACGTTGGGGGAAACGCCGAAACGCACCGCGTTCGGCTTTCGCTTTCGCTTTCGCGCGAAAAACGCGCGTGTTCCTCTGTAACTTGTAACCGCAACCGCGTCGCATCACAGACTAAACTTTTCTCCTGGGTGGAAAAGCCCTGGTTCCACACGCATCGATGCTTTCAAGCCTTCGATACATTGGCGCCACCTCGCTGCTCGTCAAAGGACCGTTCCGGACGCCATAGGAAACTTCTCCTACGCACCAGGGATCAAACGCTCGCGCCCCTCCTTGTCCTCCTCTCTTTCCATCGCTCGCTCTTTCCTTCTCTTTTAACCCAGACCTACCCTCTCTTTGCTCAACCTCCCCGCCATGATTATGTCGCTCTACCGTGTCGTATCCTTACCCTCTACCTATTGCCATCACCACCGCTCCCACCATACTCCTCTCTCTCAACCCCTACGCCGACACCCCGCCATCGCTACCACCACCACCTCTGATCTCTACCACCACCACCACCGCCGCCGCCACCTCCGCCGCCGCCGCCACCACCACCACCACCACCACCTCCACCTCTAGCTCTTCGGTTACAACCACCACCACCACCTACTACCACCCTTATCCTTATAGCTTTCGCTATTCCCTTGGCTTCTCTCTTTCTCTCTCGTGCGCGCCCTCTCTCTCTCTTTCTCTCTCTCTCTCTCTCTCTCTCTCTTCATCTTCGATCCATCACTTTCCATAAAATCTTTATTTTATCGTGGATTTTGCTCAGAGTTTGATTTAATCCCGTTAATTAGTATCGGAAAATTGGCGAGACGTGCAACGGTGTCGGGGGTTGGTTTCATTCACCCGACGATCGATATCAAACTCTTATCGAGCGTGTCCAATGAATCTCACGGTTTGCGAGCCGCCGCGCCGAATCTCACGTTCGCGTTCAAGTCGCTTACTCGAAACTCTAACCCACGGGATCGATTAGAATCGACAAGACTTGGGATTACAGTGAGAAATTGCAGCGCGACATTTCGATCTTTCACGTGGAGGGCGGGAAAAAAGAATAAAAAAA